CGTCCCCCAGGCGAGGGCGAGCGGCGCCTCGTCGCCCGCGTGCCCCCGCGCCATGCTCGGGGGCAGCCCTGCGAGCGCTTCCCCCGCCTCCTCCTCGCCGACACCGGCACCAAGGACTTCCTCTTCCAGGAGGTGGAAGTCCTCCTCCTCCTCCTCCTCCTCCTTCTCCACACCCTCCCCCTAGAACGCGCCAAGGCTCACCGAGCGCGTTCCACAAATTGCAAAGTGCCTACTCGCAAAAGGCCCTAAAAACAAACGTCTGCCTGGGACGGAATGGATCGCAGCTCCCCCTCGGCGGATCCATGCCATCTGCGAGTAGTTGCTCTGCGAGTAGGGGAACTCGCTCGTCTAGAGACCGCCTGATACCCCCTCGCCCTCCGCCTCCGCCCGCCGCCTCATCCATTCTCCCCTCCCCTGACGCTCCTCCTCCCCCGGCTCGTCGTTCCCCCTCTCAGGAAACAACCTGGAACCTGGACCCTGGACCCCCTCACCCCCGCCAGAGCCCCCAAGTCCAATCACAAGCCCCTAACACTCTTGGAGCCGTCAACTCATTTGGAGCCCCCCCCCTCCCTTCCTCCCAAATTCCTCCCCCCCTGCTCCTCCCTGCCCCTCCCTCCCTCCCTCCTCCCGCCTCCCTCCTCCATCTTCTCTCCTTCCTCCCTCCCTTCTCCTCCCTCGTCTCTCCCTCGCCCTGCTCTGCCCCTCCCCTCCCCCCTTCCCTCCTCGCCCCCCCTTTCTCACTCCCCACTCCCCCCTCCCCCCTCCGCTCTCCCCCCTTGCCTCCTCCCTGCTTCTCGCCACCCTCCTCCCTCCTCGCTCCTCCCCGGCCAGCCCCCCCCCCCCGCGGGCCACGCTCTCCCCCCCGCTCGCGCCCCCGCAGGAGCTCCTCAGACTGGTGCACCAGTGGGAGGTGCAGTCCCTCCAGACGTCGCTGACGGCGGCTCTGCCTGCCGCCCGCGCGGAGTGAGCGAGGGGAGGACGCGTATGGAAGGGGGGGAGGGGGGAGGGGCGAGGAGGGAGCGAGGGGGAGGAAGCGGAGAGAGAGAGAGAGAGAGAGAGAGCGGAGGGAGAGAGCGGCGAGCGACGGGTGGAAGCGAGGGTAGGGCGAGCAGGATATCAGGAGGCGGATGGAGGATGATCATGACGATAATGATGATGAGGATGATGATGATGATGATGATGATGATGATGATGATGATGATGATGATGATGATGATGATGATGATGACGAGGATGATGAGGATGATGAGGATGATGAGGATGATGATGATGTTGATGATGATGATGATCATGATGATGATGCTGCTGATGATGATGCTGATGCTGATGCTGATGCTGATGCTGCTGATGATGATGATGCTGCTGCTGCTGCTACTGCTTCTGCTGCTGCTGCTGCTGATGATAATGATGATGATGATGATGATGATGATGATGATGATGATGATGATGATGATGATGATGATCCCTCTCATCCCTCTCCTCGTTTCCTTCCCTCCTTCGGCCATCGCCCGCCGTTCGTAGCTCCCTTTTCGACCTCCTCTTTCGGGCCCCCGTCCGTTTCTTCTCATCCGTACTTCGTCGACCTCGCCAATGGGCGGCACGGTCCTCTTTCGAATGGCCCCCTCCTGCGGTGCCATGCGGCGCCCGCATGAGGGGGCCAATGGCTGCACCTACCGACAAGGATCAACAGCCGTGAGTCAGTCAGTCAGGAGGGGGAGGAGGAGGAGGAGGAAGAGTATGATGACGATGACGATGACGATGACGATGACGATGACGATGACGATGACGATGATGATGATGATGATGATGATGATGATGATGATGATGATGATGATGATGATGCTGCTGATGATGATGATGATTCTGTCGATGCTGATGATGCTGATGCTGATGCTGATGCTGATGCTGATGCTGACGATGATGCTGATAATGATGATGATGATGATGATGATGATGATGATGCTGATGATGACGATGACGATGACGATGACGATGACGATGAACGTGATGTGATGATGATGATGATGATGATGATGATGAGGATGAGGATGATGGATGATGATGATGATGATGATGATGATGATGATGATGATGATGATGATGATGATGATGATGATGATGATGATGATGATGATGATATGTGATTATGATGATTATGATGATGATGATGCTGCTGCTGATGATGATGATGATGATGATGATGATGATGATGATGATGATGATGATGATGATGATGATGATGATGATGATGAGGAGGAGGAGGAGGAGGAGGAGGAGGAGGAGGAGGAGGAGGAGGAGGAGCAGGAGCAGGAGGAGGAGCAGGAGAGAAGGTGTAGGAGGAGGGCGAGGAAGACTAGGATGATGAGGAGGAGGATGCGGAGGGAGAAGGTCGGCGGGAGGGCGAAGGAAGAGGGGGAGGAAGGAGGGGAACGCAGGGGTGCCGTTCCGCGCCCCGCAGGAGCTGCTCGTGGAGCACATGACGCCCGAGCTGTGCTCGCAGCTGATCGTGGACTGCGAGGCAGCCCCGACCCCGACTCTCCGACGCTTGGCGTTGGAGGCGGGTTCTCTTCCTCCTCGTCCTCCTCCTCTGTTCTCTGTCTTCCTTGTCTTCCTCCTCCCACGTTGCAATGTCCAGCTTGTGGCTGTGATCATGATAGCTTTGGGAAGCTTTGCGGATGCACGTTACAGCAAGGGTCCAATTCGGGCCAGTTCGGCGGGGCCAGATCGGTTGCAGCGGTTCGGTTTCGGAGTTGGTCCAGCTTGAGCGGGTCTGGTTTGCTTCGGGACGGTCCGGTTTCGGGCGGTTCTGCTTGTCTCAAGCGAAAAAAGGGATTTGTTGAGGATGTCTCCAGCGAGATAAGCCATTGCTGATGATATTTCTATGGAGACTAAACGCCAAGGATGTCTCAAAACGTGCTCGGCTTGGCTTCTCTTGATCATCTCTTACTTCGAGATTATGCTGAGGTCTGTTGGGCTACTTTGATTATCTCCCCCTGAACCCCGAACTTTATTATCCCCTAGTGTTTATTCTCACGGATTAGCGGTTAGGTTACCGAAAGGTCGGGGCGCCAACGAGTACGTCGCAGTTGTTGCATGGTGTGGCCGCGGATCGAACCAAGAAAGAGGAGGGGGGGAGGAGGAGGAGGAGGAGGAGGAGGAGGAGGAGGAGGAGGAGGAGGAGGAAGAGAAGGAGGAGGAGGAGGACCAGGAGCGACGGCGGCGGCGGCGACGACGGCGTCTCGACAGCGTGATGGCCGAGGACGGCGGACTCTGGGCCGGGCGGCCCAGGCCGGCCGGGCTGCCCGGGGTTTCTGCACCAGGGGGCCCAGGTCGGGACGCCCAGACCCGGGGGGTGCGACCGGGGGGGTCCAGGCCGGGGGGCCCAGGCCGGGGGGTCCAGGCCGGGCGGCTCGGGCCGGGCGGCCTGGACTGGGTGGCGTGGGCCAGGGTGTTCAGACTCGGGAGCGGAAAAGAGGGGGGTGATGACTAGGGGGGGGGTGGATTTCAAGGCGCGGGCCATGATTTTTCCTCGGATTTCATGGCGCCTCTTCTTATTTTATTACGTCCCAGGCCCCCCCGCTGGGCCGCGCACATGCCGCCTGTCATGATTTGCACCCCCCCCTCTTGGACACCCCCCTCTTGGCCGCTCCCGGCAGACGGGGGTGTCCGGGCCCCAACACAGTGTCTCGTGGTCCCACAGGGAGCTCCACCGAAGGCACAAGTGGGCCGTCCGCAATCGTCTCCCCCCACCCACCCGTACCCAGCCAACACATATTCGGACTCATACACATGCCACTCGCATTGCGACCATTCACACTCGCAGTCTGGTTGCCGCGATGTACCAGGCGTGGCGTCTGAGCACCCCAAGGAGGAGCCGCCATGGGGGTATGACACTTGCCCGTTCGCGCCCAGACTGTAGAGTTGTCTCAGGCGGTTTGTCTGTTTGGTCGCTCAGGTTCTTGCTTTCAGAGCCCCATGCGCATCGTGATGTAGCAGGCGTGGCATTTCGGTACCCCAAGGGGAGCCGCCAGGGGGTAGGAGATTTGCCCGTTCGCGCTCACATTGTGGGGATGTCTCGGGCGGTTTGTCTGTTTCGTGGCTCACACTCCTCTTTTCTCAGGGCTCCAAGCTCACCGCGATGCAGCAGGCGTGGTATCTTGAGTACCCAACGGAAGTCGCCAGGTTGTGTGACATTCGCCCGTTTGCGCTTAAGCACATACATCCACACTTACATAACCAGTATACATATATGAATACATGCACACATAATGCATACACGAGCACATTATACATCAATCCATGAATCGCGCAATACTCACATACTTGAATACGTGCAGAAACCATGAATCCTTACATACATACCTAACTATCAGTCCGCACATACATGTATAACTAATGAAAGACATATGGACGTACATAAAGAACCAATTGGGGACATCCATAAGTCCATACATACTAATACACGTGATACATAAACCAATGAGGACAGGCAGACTTCCATTAACAGTTCTATCCATAAACGAATCAATCCCGAACTATATAAGTATAAACACACTCATCTATCATCAGATAAAGTAAATCGCTGGCCCCCCCACTGCGACCCCCAAAGCGCCCACGAGCGAATCCGAATAATCGGCAGTTTTATTCACAGCTTGCATAACTCACTCATCTGGTCTGCCCAGCCGTTACGGGCATCGTGCGCGCCAGCGTATGGTTTTTGATCGGCGCCAAGAATAGCTGCATATGTTGGTTTTTAATTTTCCTGATCTGGGAATTAACGAAATGCTGCGTATGTTTTGTTGTTGTTGTTGTTGTTGTTGTTGTTGGTGTTGTTGTTGTTGTTGTTGTTGTTGTTGTTGTTGTTGTTGTTGTTGTTGTCGTTGTCGTTGTCGTTGTCGTTGTCGTTGTCGTTGTCGTTGTCGTTGTTGTTGTTGTTGTTGTTGTTATTGTTGTTGTTGTTGTTGTTGTTGATGTTACTGTTGTTGTTGTTGTTGTTGTTGTTGTTGTTGTTGTTGTTGTTGTTGTTGTTGTTGTTGTTGTGGTTGCGGTTGTGGTTGTGGTTGTGATTGTTGTTGTTTTTGTTGTTGTTGTTGTTGTTGTTGTTGTTGTTGTTGTTGTTGTTGTTGTTGTTGTTGTTGTTGTTGTGGTTGTTGTTGTTGTGGCTGTTGTTGTTGTTTCTGTTTTTTTGGGTCTGGGAGGCTGCAGCGCTCGCCGCGGCGTCTGGCTCGTACCACTTTGTTTCCAGAACCCAAACACACAGTCGTCTTGGCGAAGGCCAGCCATGTGCAGCTGCGAGTAACGCAGTTGTGGGTATCGCCCTCGGCGAACCTGCCTCTGCGGGCCACGATGCGTCTGGCGGGTGTGCCAAAGTTGGCACGGATACGCCATGCGGACGCTGCCACCGGGGCCGTCGGTGGAGCCCCATGGGGGGGCCAACGTGAGGGGTGCGCCGACATGCAGGGTGGGACGGCGCGCGGACCCTGCCTCTGGGGCCTTCGGCGGAGCACCCTATTGGGCCACGAAGCGTGCGAGGGGCGCGCCTAAATGGAGATGGAACTGCATGCGGGCCCTGCCGCTGGGGCTTTCGGCGGAGCACCCTATGGGGCCACGAAACGTGTGAGGGGTGCGCCAAGTTGGGGTGGAGCTGCATGCGGACCCTGTTGCTGGGGCCTTCGGCGGAGCACCCTACGGGGCCCCGAAACGTGTGAGGGGTGCGCTGAAATTGATGTGGAACTGCAAGCGGGCCCTGCCACTGGGGCCTCTGGCGAAGCGCCCTATTGGGCCGCGAAACGCGCGATGGGTGCGCCGAAATTGATGTGGAACTGCCAGCGGGCCCTGCCACTGGGGCCTTCGGCGGAGCACCCTATTGGGCCACGAAGCCTGTGAGGGGTGCGCCGAAATGGGGGTGGAACTGCATGCGGACCCTGCCGCTGGGGCGCTCGGTGGAGAACCCTATGGGGCCACGAAGCCTGTGAGGGGTGCGCCGAAGTAAGGGGTTTGGAACTGCATGCGGACCCTGCCACTGGGGCCTTCGGTGGATCTCCCTATGCAGCCACGAAACGTGTGAGGAGTGCGGCGAAATGGTGGTGGAACTGCATGCGGAACACCCTATTGGGCCACGAAGCGTGTGAGGGGTACGCCGAAATCGGGGTGGAACTGCATGCGGGCCCTGCCACTGGGGCCTTCGGTGGAGCACCCTATGGGCCACGAAGCCTGTGAATGGTGCGCGGAAAGAAGGGTTTCGAATTGCATGCGGACCCTGCCACTGGTGCCTTCGAAGCGTGAGAGGGGCGCGCCTAAATGGAGATGGAACTGCATGCGGACCCTGCAACTGGGGCCTTCGGTGGAGCTCCCTCTGGGGCCACGAAGCGTTTGAGGGGTGCGACAAAATGGAGGCAGCGGGGGGAGGGTGAGGATGGGAGGAGGGAAGAGGGGCAGTGGGAGTGAGGACGCAGGGCGCTGTCTCTTCAAAACGAGGACCCAACACCACAGGATGGTTGGGAACAGCCACATATTCGTAGCGTTTCGTGCCCTTGATGCCACGATATGCTACGTATGTTTGTTCTTTTTTTTTGGTTGGGGAATCAACGAGTCGCTATTTTTTTGGTGTTGTTTTGTATTTGGATTTTTTGGTCTGGGAAGGTCCCAGCGTTCGCCGCGGCTTTCCGGCCAAGACGTCTCCATCTGAGCATCCCAAACCAACAACACCAACCATACGCAGTGTTTCGCTGATTCCCAGACCAAGAACAAACAAACACACGAAGCACACGCAGCGTTTCGTGGCACCGAGGATACGGAACGCTGAGTTTTTTTTTGTCCGTGAATCAACGGTCTGGGAATGCATCCATACATTGTGAAATAAAGGCATGCGTCCATGCATACACACATAGTGAAACACATGTATTCATACATACATACGCACATACTAAATACTTCTCGGCATACATACATGCACAGCGACATCTATGCATACATCGATACTTACGGCATGCGTAAGTACATACAATTCTACATGCATACATATCTACTGAACCGCATGAATTAAGGACTGACTGTATGCATGGCTGCATGCATGAACACAAACCATATACATACTACATACAACTGTACACTACATGCGTACACACAGTATATATATATATATATATATATATATATATATATATGTATATATATACATAAATGTGTGCGTGTGTGTGTGTGTTGTGTGTGTGTGTGTGTGTGTGTGTGTGTTTGTGTGTATATATATATATATATATATACACACCGGAAGCCCCACGCGCATGGCGATGTAGCAGGCGTGGCATCTGGGCACCCAAATGAGGAACCGCCATGGATGATTTCGCCGTTCGCGTCCAGATTGTTGGGATGTCTTGGGCGGTTCGCCTGTTTGGTGACCCAGGCTCCTCTGCTCTTATCTTGGCCCAGGAACTGAGATGCACATATGGGAATCCCCGCGTCGAATGGTTTGATCTTAGATGGTGGATTGGGTGGACGTGGCTTTGCCTGTCGTCCAGAGTGAAGCTGGCACCAGCTGCTTTTCCGAGAGTCCTCGCGGTGCATTTCTGTGTTTTCTTTTTGCGTGTGTGTGTGTGTGTGTGTGTGTGTGTGTGTTTTGGGGCTCCTGTGTCGGCGCGACTTCTAGCACCAGTCCTGGAGTCTTGAGAGCCTCCCGTGTTGCAGTTCGGGGGGTCTTAGTGACCCTGCGAGGTCTCGATGAGCTCCGCGGGGATTCGTGGTCGTCCTGGGGTGTCGTCGGGAACTCTCCAGAAGACTGCTGCCGCATCATTTCTGTAGGCCGATCAAAGGGGGGCGTCCAGTCTTGACAGTGCACACCACAGGGTGGGGCCAGGGGAGTGACCTTTTCAGAAGGCAGGGTGCTTCCTAGAAGGGATTGTAGGCTTCAGAGAGTGCGCCTGGGACGGGATGCGAGCTTCTAAGAACCCCCCTGGCCTCTCAGATGGTCGTCCTTCTTCGCCACATTCCCCGCGGTGTGCTGCCAACAGTCAGCATGTGCAGGGAGCTTCTAGCTGCGCGGGCAGATGGGGCCATCTGCGGAGGCTCTGCTTGTGGACAACCTGAACGAGGTGCTGGAGAGATATGTGCTGGAGCCGCAGGGAACGGAGCGAGAAGAACAGGGGGTCCCTTGGGCTGGACGACTTTTCTCCAATCGACTTGCGGTGATCAAGCTTAGGTAAATCAAGATAGATCGAGGTACTCCCAGATCACTTGAGGTACATCCTGGGATATCCAGGTACATCTGGGGAACTCGTGGAAGCTTCAGCGCGAGTCGAGGGGCAGCAGTCTTTGAGGCCTGAAAGAGGGGGGAAGCCTGATACCCCAGACCTCCGACGAATCGACCCCCCGTATTTCTGGACCCCACATCCTGGGCCCATAAGCGTCACTGGAGCCCAGCCACTGACTGGTGAGCCATATGTTGCGCGATTGTTTCGGACAGCTGGAGGTCTGGGAAAGGAGTCAGGTGAAGAGGGGGGGAAGCCTGGCAGTATTGATGGCCAGCTCGGCGCTCTCTCCTTTCACGTTGTGACCGTCATGGAGGAGCGGTCTGAGGATGATGTTAGAGGTGTGAGGAGATGTCGAAGGTAAATCCTTATCGCAAGTGTACCTAGGATCTCTGGGTTGTGGCCATCCTGAGCACGTTTGGGCGCGCGCATTCAATAGTCTTGCATCCTTAAAGACTCCATCCGTATCATTGATTTTGAATGCAATGCGCCTGCTCGTCTACGGTGCCTCTGCAGACGTGGCCGCCGCCGCGGTCGCCGTCGCCGTCGCCGTCGCCGTCGCCGCCGCCTCCGCCGTTGTCGTCGTCGTCGTCGGCGTCGGCGTCGTCGTCGTCGTCGTCGTCCTCGTCGTCGTCGTCGTCGGTCGTCGTCGCCGTCGTCGTCGCCGTCGCCGTCGCCGTCGCCGTCGCCGTCGCCGTCGCCGTCGTAGTCGTCGTTTTCGCCGGAGGACAACTTCACGGCGTGCGTGCGGACGGAGCGGCTCCGCCCGAGGGCGGGCGCACTTGTTTTTTTGTGTCTCGTTTTCTGTCTCTCTCTCTCTCTTTTGTTTTGTTTCTCTCGCTCTCTCTCGCTCTGTCTGTCTGTCTGTCTGTCTGTCTGTCTGTCCGTCCGTCCGTCCGTCCTTCCGACCTTCCGTCCTTCCGTCCGCCCGTCCGTCCGTCCGTCCGTCTGTCTGTCGGCCTGTCTGTCTGTCTGTCTATCTGTCTGTCTGTCTGTCTGTCTGTCTGTCTGTCTGTCTGTCTGTCTGTCTGTCTGTCTGTCTGTCTGTCTGTCTGTCTGTCTGTCTCTCTCTCTCTCTGTATCTCTGTCTCTCTGTCTGTCTGCCTGCCTGCCTGCCTGTCTGTCTGTCTGTCTCCCTCCCTCCCTCCCTCCCTCCCTCCCTCTCGCGAAGGGTCGCTACACCCAGGCCAGCCCACCGAGGGCTCGAGTAGACAGGTCACACCAGGCCAGCCCGGCACGGGCACGAACCGAGGTGCCACGCGGCGACGCCAGGAGTGCGGCCTCTGCGGCCTGCGCGCCAGAACAGCGCACCGCGCGCTACCAGGCTGCCGTCCTGGCCGCCTCAAGGGCCAGGCCCGCTAGGTCCGCCCACTCCCTGTGGAGCCGAGGCCCAGGCCAGTCTGCCAAGAGCCGGAGCCAAGGAGCCCTTCCAGCCGGCCCTCCAGGGGCACAAGCCACGCAGCGTTGCCTCTCGCTCGGAGCAAAACCTCACATGGCCCGTGCGTCACAGCACCCCGCTGCCCGGCGTCCACCCAGCCGCTCCCCGCTCGCGCGCCGCCGCCACAATTCGCGGCCACCCTGGTGTGCCATCTCCACTCGCGGCCGCCAGGCCACGCCGCGTCCGCGCGCCGCCGCCACCTCTCGCGCCGCCGTCCGGGCCGCCTCGAGGGTCAGCGCTCCGCCAGCGCGCGGCCCCCCAGGGCACGCCACGGCCGTGACGGTCGCTGGGGCGTGCCCGCCGTGCGCCACGCACCCGCGGGCTGGGGCCGCCCCCGACCCGCCGCCAGGCATCGCGGCCGCAGAGACTGACGGCGCCACCGCGACGCGCGGAGAGCTCCCTCAAATGGTCCTCGCACCACCGCGCAGGCCCGCTCGGCAGCCACCCTGCCACGCTCCGCTTCGATGGACGGGCTCGTCGGCTCCCTGGGCGTGCCCCGACCCTGCGGGGCGAGCGGGTGTGAAGGACTCGACGAGCTGACCCAGCCGAGCAGGAGGCCGCCGTCCAAGCCGCCCACCACGGTCGCCTTCACCTCTGGAGCCCACCCCCCTCGCGGGCTCCGCGCTGGACCGGCACGTCCTCAGTGGGCGCTGCGCGGCGTCTTCGGCGCTCCTCCACCCCCCTGCGGTCGGACCGGCCCCCGACCCGACCAGCTGGCACGAAGTAAGAGCGCGGACCCGAGGTGCTCCTCGAGCCCGGGGTCGGCGTCACCTCGACATACTGAGGCTACGTGTGCGTTGCTCCCCCGCCGGTGGCGCGCGCGCGCGCCGAGAGATCCTGCAGCATCAGCTCCGTGGCGGGCGCTTTCTGGCCGCACCGCTCGGGACACGACGTGCTACGAGACGATTGTACTATCTAGATGTTCGGGTCGGGCGCGCGCCTCCAAGGAGGACATGTAGCACCAGTACGTCCTTGAACTCCCCGTCGGGTCCTCTCGCTCGCGGGGCCACCGAGCCGCGCCCCCCCACCCGGCGGGCCCCCTCCACAGCCGCCTGCGGTCGGCGCCCCCCGCGCCCCCGCCCCAGTTGCCACGACGCCCGAGCACGGCTCCGAGGCGCTCCTGGAGCCTCGGGTGAAATCGGGCGTGTCCCTCTACAGAAGGAATGCTCAAAATAGTGTAAATGTAGTCTCGGGACGTTTTTTTTTATGTTTTTTTTTTTGTTTAAAAAAAAACAAAAAACAAAAAACATACAAATTATTTTTCGTCCCAAACCCGCTTGCATGTAGGGGGACATGCCCGACCTGAGCCTCGGGCCCACCCCGCGCGGGCCTCGCCCGAGCCGGGCGCCCCCCCCCCCCCCTCCCCCCTTCCTCCTGGGGCCCCACGCCCGGGGTGGTGGGGCAGCGCCCCCCCCCTCCCCTTCTGCTCCCTTCTCCGCCCTCCTGCCTTGCACTCCTCCCTCCACCTCCGCCTCGTCTCCCCGGGGGTGGCACGACGCCTCCTCCTCCTCCTCCTCCTCCTCCTCCTCCTCCTCCTCCTCCTCCTCCTCCTCCTCCTCCCCCCCTCCTCCTCTCCTCCCTCCTCCTCCTCCTCCTCCTCCTCCTCCTCCTCCTCCTCCTCCTCCTCCTCCTCCTCCTCGTCCTCCTTCTCCTCCCCCCACGACACGAACCCACCGCAGGCAGGCGGTCGCACGGCCTCTGCCTGTGCCCTCTCCTGTGCCCGCGTGGAGAGCACAGTCTTTCCTGCCCCTGCCTCTTGCTCGCCCTGCACCCGCCTCCAGCGTGACTGACATCGGGGCATGCTTCTCTAGAGCCCCGATGGGACAGTCGCGCGCCTCTTCCCCTCCTCTCCTCCCCCCCTGGTCCTGCCCCCCTCCTCCCCCTGCTCCTGGGGAGCCGGTCCCCCGCCCCCCTCGGGGCTGTGGGCCCTTGAGGCCACGGGGGGGCGCGGGAGCCCGCTGCCCCCCCCCCAAAGACCCCTTCCTGCTTCGCGCTGGCTCTGGCCCTGCCTGGCCCGCGGTGCCTCGGGTCACGTCCGCGTTCGGGCCGACCTTTGGCGAGGCGAGCGGACCTTCGGGGCTCTCCTCGGGCCGGGGAGGCGCCCCGCGAAGGCCTCCTGCCGATCCCCTGGCCTCCGTCCTGCGAGCCTCCCGGCCGCCGCGCGCGGCGCGCCGCTCGGAGCCCCCCCCCCCGCGCACCGCGAGCAGTCGTGCGCCTCTGCGCGCGCCGGGGGTCGGCCCTCCTCGCTTCCACTCCGAAGGCTGTGCCCCGGCCGTGCGGAGGCAATACGGCACATGGCCGCTGCACCGCATGATCGGCCTGCTGCGGACGCCGCCCGCCCTTCGGGCCGCCGCTGCCGCCGTCGGGCCGCCGCCGCCGTCGACGTCAGTGTCGCCATGGCCGTCGCCAACGCTGCCCACCAACCGCCGGTCGCCGCCGTCGCCACCATCGCCGCCGCCGCCGTCGCCGCCGCCGCCGTCGCCGTCACCGTCGCCGCGTCGTCGTCGTCGCCGTCATTGTCATCGTCGCCGTCGCCGTCGTCGTCGTCGCCGTCGCCGTCGCCCTTGTCGTCCCCGTCATCGTCGCCTTCGCCGTCACTGTCGGCGTCGTCGTCGCCGCCGTCGTCGTCGCCGCCGTCGTCGCCGTCGCCGTCGCCGTCGCCGTCGCCGTCGCCGTCGCCGTCGCCGCCGCCGTCGACGTCGCCGTTGCCTTTGCCGTCATCGTCGCCGTCGTCGTCGTCGTCGTCGTCGTCGTCGTCGTCGTCGTCGTCGTCGTCGTCGTCGTTGCCGTCGTCGTCGTCGTTGTCGTCGTCGGCGTCGGCGTCGTCGTCGCCGCCGTCGTCGCCGTCGCCGTCGCCATCGCCGTCGCCGTCGCCGTCCGTGGTCGTCGTCGTCGTCGTCGGTCAGGGGGTGTTCGCCCAACTCCAGATCAAGAGGACTCAGTCCCATCTCTCTGTAGCCTCATCGATCTTCGATATACTGCTGGTGATGCGCGGATTCTGCACGTCTTCACACGAGCTTCTCATGTCGTGCATCGTTGTCCCACGTCCGCGAAACCGAAACATGAGTGCGCGGAACTTCTTCGAAAACACGGCGAGGGGCGCGCGATCGTGTGCCGTCCTCGTGGCTGGGCAAGCTGTTGCATCGCAGCCGCGTGCTCTGTGAGGCAGAGGACGAGGCCAACCACATCGCGGTGATTTTTCAAAAACTTTTACACCTCGGCAGATGTCAGGCCCGTCCCTGGGTGGTTCAGTCAACGATGGGCCCGAGCCGCTCTCGACGGTTCGGGGGCCCTCTCTCCGGCACTGGCCCGGGAGTGCGCCATGAAGCTCAAGAAGGGCAAGGGTTGTTCCAGACCCGACATGGCGGTGGCGGAGATGTTTCAACGGCACCGTACTTTGAAATTTTGCCCAAAGTTGCCACTTTGGGGCCTCTTTCTGGCATGGCAGCGTTGCCCACATCGGGAAGGGTTGGCTTCGCTGGGTCACTGGCCAAAGTACACGTTAGTGGAGTCCCCGCTCGAGGGGCGCTGAATGTTGCAAGACGCGTCAGATGAGGTCTTCGATAGTCTTGCAGCTTTATTCGGTCTGCGTCTTACTAGTCACTAGTTTGCCGCACGACGATGTGTGGGACGAGTTCGACATCCGTTTCGTAGAACATGTGGGGAACCCGATTTGAATAGAGAGGTGGCGCCCTATTGCTCTGTTTGCTCTGTAGACGCCCTACACGATGGTTCTGCCTGAAGTGGGGAGGCTCGGAGACTTCGAATTGTCGCGCCACCACTTGGCATTCTAGAACTCTTGCCAGGTCGCAGGGGTGCAGTCCTTACTTCGCTTGCTGACGGAAACGACTACCGCACTTGATCTTAGCCTGCTCGTTTTCGTCGGCGGCCTGCGCATTGCGTTTTGCATTGTTGATCTTGGCCCACGGGCTGACTCTTTCAAGGACGAAGGAAAACCGAAGTGGATCACTGCTGTCAGGATCAGGGAAGTGAGAAGAGCGCGCGGAAGTCTTCGATTTATCAGAGGAGGACCGACAATCCCCATTCCGCGCACCCGCAGCTTCTACCAATGCGACCCTACATGTCCAGATGCCTACAGCATCGTCGCCGATGTGACCCTCGTCCGCCCATTCTTGAGGCTGTGCGCGAAGAGTGACTGGGGTGTCTCTTTAGAGAATGACGGCATCGTGGCGCTGCAGAGGGCCGGGCGGGCGCTAGATTCAGATGGTGTGCAACGTCTTGGGGTACGTGTACACATTGAGCAACGATGCGACCGTGTACGTGGAGAGCGGGATTACGGGCCTTGGGGCTGCTTTTGGTAAACACCGCTGGCGCCTGACCTGCAATGCCAGCCCTCGCAGGCGGCATTTGGCATCACTACCTCAGTCCGTCTTGCTGGCTCCCACCTTCAACGTCGGAGTCTTATCTTTTACGAAGAGAGCCCCAGCGCATACGTGTAACATCGAGTGAGATGATGCGAAGTGTGCTCGGGCCAGGCTCAACACCCCGGTGGAGACGCACCAGGACTTTGACTTGATTGGGATGACACTTTTGCCAGGTACCCACTGTGACGCTAAATGAATGCGCTGCGGGCCAACTGCAATTTGTAACGCTGGGGCCGAAGATGTCTAGGGCGAGTTCTACCTGGGCAGTATTCGCAAGACAGGATCGCTTTTGGCATGCTGTGCGATTCCCGGGCGCTGCGTGTTGCGAAGGCCTTACGGCCAGTGCCGCCCAGCCTGAAAGCAGGGTTTTCCCCGGGACCCCCGCTGGCGACCCCCCCCCCGGGACCCGGGACCCCGGAGCGGCGGTATTCTGACCCAGGACCCCCCCGCCCCCCACCGAACCCATCCCCGTCCACCTCCCCGTCCACCTCCCCGTCCGCCTCCCCCCCCTCGCGCCCCCACCGCCCCCCCCCTCCCCCCCCCCCTCCCGCCAGGGAAGGGGATAAAGGGAATGGAACTGACTTGAGTGCGACGTTCTTTGTTTTGCAGTTTTCTTGGGCTGACGACGACGACGACGTCAACGCCGATGCCGACGCCGATGCCGACGCCGACGTCGACGCCGACGCGGACGCGGATGATGATGATGATGATGATGATGATGATGATGATGATGATGATGATGATGATGATGATGATGATGATGATGATGATGATGATGATGATGATGATGATGATGATGATGATGATGATGCTGATGATGATGATGATGCTGATGATGATGATGATGATGCTGATGCTGATGATGATGATGATGATGATGATGATGATGATGGTGATGGTGATGGTGATGGTGATGGTGATGGTGATGGTGATGGTGATGGTGATGGTGATGGTGATGGTGGTGGTGGTGATGATGATGATGATGATGATGATGATGATGGTGATGCTGATTCTGTCGATGATTATGCTGATGCTGCTGATGCTGCTGATGATGATGCTGATGATGATGATGATGACGACGAGGAAGAGGAGGAGTAGGAGAAGGAGGACCATAATGAACACAAGGCGCGCCAGCTATGTCGTAGAACATCCTCGCTCCAAGTTCCCTTTTCATAGGTTCCTACAGCAAGAGTCCTGTGACAGTATGGAAACTTCCAATCGTTCCAGAATGCCAGGTCTCGGACTTCCACGCCGCGAGCCAACGTGTTCCATCCTGTCGGTCCTAAATCGTGCCAGAACGCCGTTCTGAGATTTCACACCACCGCAAATTCACATGATTTTTGCGTCTTGACAGTCCTCAATCGTTCTAGAACGCTGTTCCTGGGACGTCCACACCGCGAATCGATGTGACGGTTGCGTCCTGGCAATCCTGCATCGTGCCAGAACACCTTTCCTGAGACTTTAGCCACACGAATCCTTGACATTGTTATGCACTTTTAGAATGGATGTGCGCGGTGCTAAAGCGAGAACCACATTTTGAAAATGAACCGCCTTCCATTCTTGAAGCTGTTGCGTTCTTTCCAGACGAATGTGCGCGGCGCGAAGGCCAGAGCCATATGTTGAAAAGTGACCGCCCTCCGTCTTTGAAGCAGCTTCAGATTTTGAAGACGAATGTGCGCGGCGCTCAGGCGAGAACCACATTTTGAGAAACAACGCCTTCTATGTTTGAAACTTATGGCGATTGTGCGGCGCGAAGGCGAGAACCACATGTTGAATCAAATCCCCTCCATCTTTGAATTTGGTTCAGACTTTAAGACGAATGTGCGCGGCGCTTCGATTTTGGAAAGCCACGTCTTGGAAAGCACCCGCCCCCTTCCGTGAAGCTGTTGCAAATGTCAAGCTTTTAGAAGTCTCGGGCGAAACGCCCAGCCCGCCCTACCGACAAGTCTAGGGGTGCGACTGGGAAGCGTTACTTAAAAGGAACGTGATTGAGGAGGAGCAGGAGGAGGAGGAGGAGGAGGAGGAGGAGGAGGAGGAGGAGGAGGAGGAGGAGGAGGATGAGGATGAGGAGGAGGAGGATGAGGAGGATAATCATACGGGGTCATGCGAAGTGGCCGCCTCGCGGCACATCATCGGGACGGTTGGCCGGCGCTGTCGGCAAGGCTGGTGTCGGCTCTATTCTCTTATCTCCTGCAGCCATCTCGCCACGTTCAGGAGGGGACAAAAACACACAGGCACAATTAATCCTCGACTCCCAGGAACGTATGGAAAGATATGGGAATTGGGGGGAAGACAAAAATCCAGATTATTTGGGAAAATATGGGGCATCTAGCTATTTGTGTGTATTTATTCGTGTGTCCCAGGGTCCCTTCAAGAACCTCACTTCGACAGGCAACCGCGGCAGGCTCGCGCCGCGTGCTCGCGCCGCGCCAGCGCGGCAGCGACCCCGACTTGCACGCGGCACCCTGGCCCCTCGGGGGAGCACCGCAGGGCCAGGCGTCGGGCAGCCTGGGCTGCGCGCTGAGCTGAATCAGGAGGGAAAAAAACACACAGACACAATTAGTCGCCAATTCCCCAGAAAATATGGGACAATATGGGCGGTGGGGGGGAAGACAGAAACCCAGAAGATATGGGAAAACATGGAGCAATCCTTTTATTTGTGTGTATTTATTTGTGTGTCCCAGGGCCCCTTCATGAGCTGAAGGCCAGCGGGCCTGGCATGCACGCGCGAGGGGGCCGGCAGCCACTGCATCGACACGTCGGCCCGCCACGCGTGGCGGCTGCGGGCGCCACCCGCCCACCCCGGGGGCGCCTCTGCCCGGCGCCAGCGCGCGCCCCCGTGCGACGAGCCCGCCGCCCCGGCCGCCGCCCGGGGGCTCACCCGCGAACGCCCTGCTCCCGGGGGGCTTCTGGCCCGACGCTCGCGCGG